TTTGTCTTTGCCAAGTGTATATGTTCTCTACTACGTATTAATCGCATCAGTAGACGTTGCCTAGGCACAGAGAACGTCACACTTGAAGAGATTCGATTGATCTGTCTGCTGTTTGCAGATGATCTCGTTATGTTCGTTTCCTGCCCTAATGATATGCAGATTGTGTTTTATCGTTGAGCTGCTACGTTGATGAGAGCGTCATTAAAATTAACCTAAGTGAAGTCGAGGTTTTGGAACTCTCTAGGAAAGTTGATTTGCCCTGCAACTAATTTGAGTGCAGTTTGAGCACTTAGAAAAATCTATGTATCTCGAGATATCATTCACGACTGATGAGACATAAGACGTGGAAGAAGGTAGACGAATTGGCCAGACGAGCGCTTTAATGCAAGAGCTAAATCGATCTGTGGTAGTGAGGAAGGAACTGCAGGGTAGCGCGAAGCTATCTTTATTTGAACATGTATGTGTACTTGCTGTCACTTATAGTCATGAGCACTGGATATTAACCGAAAGAGTACCATCCCGGATACAAGCTGCAGAAGTGAGGTTTCTTCGATGAATTGCTAATGGTGTGACGAAACTCGGCAGATTCTGAAACACGCCAGTTCGAGATACCCATGATTGTAAGCTACTGCTTCTTCAAGTCGACAGATGGCAGTTACGGGATGTCCTGGGCATTAAGTGAGAATTCCGAAGAAAAATCTCTCAGAACGCAGTCTCTTGGCCAAGTAACTTTAGGGGTTGCTCGATTATGCTGGAATTATTATTTAAAGAGTATATTCTTTAAACAGCTGGCCCTGCGATCCGAAAGGACTGGCGGTCATTGAAATTCAGTTAGAGAATGTTTCGTCTGTTAATTAGCTATGATAATGATGCTGTTATGGGCAAGTTAGCTGACTGGACTTGCAGATGGATGAACTTGATGTAGAATTCTGGCTAGGTCACTGTCTTTCTACTTTTCTGATATGGATGAACGATAACAACTGTGCGGTAGGAAACCGACAAGTTGCGCTACAGTGGCTACCTAGGTATAGATGCGCCTTTAGTCATAAGGTAGTGCTAGCAGGTGGTGTTCAAATGTAAATCAGCACTTGCATGCTATGCTCTGAGGCAGAAGAGCCGTGATGAGGTACATCTTTGACAGGGTAAGAAGATTAGCGGTCTAGCAGTAGCAAACTTTTCTTTTTCATTCTTGTTTGTAGTTTAGAAACAGTTTCATCATGGCGTCATATTTGCCCCAGAATGGAGCGAGTCCTTTTTCAGGGTTTCTGATCATAATACAGCGAGAGTCATTTTATTTCTCTGTTTTTGTTGCTTTGCTTGTGCATGATTTCTTCATTGACGACAAGCCCTTCTTCATGTGAAAAACATGCTTCCTTGATTGTTTCTAGCATGCGGTGTGATATTTTGTTCCCTACTCACTAGCTATAGATTAGATGCGTGTGACGAGTGATGCAGTATATGAATCACTGATTCAAGCCTTATCCTGTCTTCTCGCCGGAATTTTTTAGAATGAGATCTGTGAAATCTTTTTCTCCTTTTCACTTCTTATAGTGATAACTCTGTCGAAGTTTGTCACTTGAACATTATCCAATGATTGTTGTCGTACTGTCGTTATCTAATGCTAAATAAACCTTTTATATTAGAGTTGCTCAAGCTGCTAGTGTCAAGCAGTGGTGGATTTTATTAATCATGCATAACTAAACATGATTAGTTGTTTTGTCGCTTCGCAAATATGGATGTTGTTGGAGATACGAATGGTGGACATTTAAATTTAGATGTTGATTTAAAGGAAACACGACACGGCTTAGCGATGGCATCATGACGGTGATTAGGCTTCATGAAAGAAGTGATGCTTCGAACATTGTTTATCGTGTTCGATGGCATGTAGTACCTTTGCGAGGTTACAAATGCTCCTACCCGGAATGCTGTTCTTTTGCATGAAACGGGAGTTTTTTTTATTCTGTTCTCCTAGCGTTTACGAAATTTGAACCCTAAGTCTAGAAACTATTCCTGAACTGCTGACTGAAAGATGTAACACGAAAAGTTGTGTTGAGAATGACAAGAAAAGATAAGAAAACAAATGAACGGGAATTAGCACCAACAGGAGTCGCTCATATCATTGCACGAGTGAAGAAGTTAAGGAGACAGTTGACAAGAAACGTGGACTAGAGTGACACTAGACTGGGTTCCGAGGGAAAGTAAACAGCCCATTGTAAGACCTCCAGACCAGTCGATAGCAAAACGAATTGAATCAAGGTCGCTAGATCATAATGGATGAGAATCACTGAAAACAGAAGTTCACAGCAGTCATGAAAATTTCTTCATCATGAAGTGGATCGAAAAAGTTGATGATGATGATGATGTAAGTGGACAGGCGATCGACATCCCAATTGTTACAAATATTTCTTATTCTTTTTCTGTCCATCATGGACTGCAGTCGCCGGTCAACTTATGCTTTTTGATTTGTCCATGGTATCAGTTGTTTGCTCCCGTTTCGAGCGAATTAATGACCTCGGCGAACGGACTTAACATCGCAATAAAATTATTGATAGATCTCGAGGTGTTCTTTTCCCACAATCAATCAAAACGAGATTTGCCGACTGTGAGGCAGCTTAATTGCTTATCGTGTCTGAGCCTTCTCGACTGATTGAACACTAGCTGACCGATCGAGTCCAGCTACAGCGAGTCGTTTTCGGTTATGTCGAGTAAACGCCGATGCAATAAAAGCACGCAAAACGGTTTCCGGCTTAAATCGTAGGCAGCAGCTGTAAACCAAACATTATTCAGTTTATTTCGTCCAGAATATGCCACGACTATGCTAGAGTATTGGGCTTTTGAATGAGATTTGTTCGCACTTTGCTAAAGTGAACGGTCCATTGAAACTATGTTTTTACTGTCGTTTTTTGTTATCTTTAGACTGTTATATTCGTCTGAATCTATACGCCTTCTAATGACAGCGTTGCTTCGGTGACGTAGGTCAAAAGTAAAAAAAAAAACCGTCATCCTCAGTGATGTATTGAGGCTATTAAGACCTCTTCTGACAGCTGTGGCGTCAACCTTGCATAGACCGAGAAACAGGTCATATACTGGATTCTTCTGGACCCGAAGCCCCATGCTCCACTGTCAGCTGTTTCCATGTAACTTTTGTCTCTGCATATGTGAATTTTCTGCGAGTCATATATATTGGTTCGAAGTATTTTACTCTCTCCTAGGGGCTATATTAAAGTCCTGATGTGTGGTTCAGGTTGATGATTCCATGACTCTGCAAAAGACATGCCACTGTTTTCGGTCACGTTCAAGACGTAGCAGTTATATCCATACATCTTTGCCGGTTGTTGATCTCAGTACAGTTTAGGGACAAAGGTTGTTCGCTCTTTCCATCCCACCAGCCAATTTCATTCCCTACAAAGCAGGGTCCTGATATTCTGCATGCCACATCCACTTACCCCTAAACATTACTCATTTGGCTGGCGCAGCGGTCCTCGAGCAGTTGTTGCTTTGCCTTCCTTTCTGGAGGCATTCTAAAATCATTCCTTTCTGAAGACATGCAAAAACAGTCGCAGCTGTACCCAAGGCTTCTTCTGTTTTTTGTACTCCGGAACATGTCTAGACTCGCAAGGCCAGCTGTTCGTCTCAGAAAGCTCATTTTAACCGCTTATACCCGGGATCGAAGTTTCTTCGTCATAGTCCACGACTCATGACCGTAGGTGAGCATGGGGATGAAGATCGACTTGGACATACAGAGTCTAGTCTCCAACCTCACCTCTTCCTACTTTAGTGAAGACTGTTCAGGCTAGTTCACGCAGAACCCGACTGGCTGCTCCATCCAATCCGCCGATCGATCTTTTCCACATTTTCCATCACCCGTAAACACGACCCCGGGGTACAGTGTATTTAAGGATCGTCTGATGATTAGGCTTAATCTGTGGAAGATAAATCGTTTATCTTTGTACTGTCCTTCGCATATTTGTCGAACATACTGAGATTCCAAATAACCGGGTCTAGATTGTGTTTATTTTGCTGATAATGTGGTTTCATTCCCAAATGCGTGTATTTTCTTCACAAATCTATATCATACTGTTTCATCAACAAGATAGCCTTTGCATTGAAAAGTTTCTCATCCTTGCGGGTCAGGTGATGCCTGAATCTCAACTGGGCGTAAAATTTTTTCCTCGGTGACATTTCTGAGCCGCAGATTAGCTCCACTGCATCGGTACAACCAGTAAAGGATCAGGTCGTTGACATGAAGAGTATGAACAGCATGGTATTTTGGGGTTGTTGTTCAGTTGACCGGTACTGCTGACCTGAAGATCCATCATACGTTCGAGCCCAGGTCAAGTGACTCGCATTTCTTCGCTCCGATATTGATAAGTGAGTATCACTCTGTCAGAAGGATACGGCAGACTGCACTCGACGCTTGCCACATAGCTAATCTCGACTGTCTTTAAAACAAACTGCTGCTGGCTGATGGCCTGGAGATAAAGATCCGCTCCCTGCCGTTAATTTGATGGAAAGAATTACGTGAGGCATAGCCGTATCATGAAAGTGTAAGATCGACATTTGGACGGTTAATGACATTGCTTTTTTCTTTGGTGTTGTCGTGCTGAATCTGCAACCTTTACAGCCGTGCTGTGTGATCTACGCACAGTGTGATTTGACTCAAGCGATAATTGGTTCGGTCAGCACCAGATTTCGTTACATACATTTGATTACAATTCTGAATGTTCGAAAAACCCATTACTGTAACGCGTATAGATTTTCGAAATTGTTGGCTGAGGCTTGATGAAAGTCTTATTTATCGTTTAACGCTATTTTTGCTCTTCGAGTACTTTTAAATTTATCGTTGTTCATAATACTGGAATTTGTCTTATAGAACGACGTTCCTTGGATGAAAAATGCTCATCAAAGAATAGTATGTGATTCAGTTACCGTCTCATCGCATGTGACTTACTGTCTTTTTATAGCCGCGTGGTGCTGCCTCTCACCGTTGCTGAGGTATGATCGTATTGCTTGACTGTTTATGCTAAAATTTTAACTGTGCTATTGTAAACAACATATCTCACGCAGTTATAGCTGTGATTAAAATAATTTTTGGCATGAGAATCTGCCTGTATTGGAATATCCGAGTCCTGACAATGTGAACTTCCTTTCATTTGATGTGTGTTCATCCATTGGATACCGTCTCAGCTTGACATGAAAATCGTCCATTTTATATTGTTCGTCATTGTCTAGGAGCCAGTGAATCTCCCTCCAGGATTGGATGGTTTCTTTCTTGATCATGTGTCATTTGACAAGTTAGACATTAGACGCGGAGGGTTCCTTCTTGGTCATGCGTCATGCGCGAAGCAGCTACCGTGGAATGCCGACGTGCAAGAACGACAGGCGTATTTGTGGTTGTTGTCAGCCCGACTCTTTTGCAGATTAAAGGTTTGCCACATACGGAGGTTAAACGGGCCGCCTCATACTCCCCTACAACGATAGAGCCGGTCTTGCTTTCAGTGATTTCGTCTGGACGGGACGCATCGATCTTCAGCGTGTGAGTTCTATGCAACAAAGATGAAACGTTCAAATTCAGTAAGCGCCAGTGACAGTACCAGCTCTGGATTTCCAAAGATGACCAGTTGCTTTCTCTCCATGCCAGTCGGTGAACAATGCCGGTATGGGTTTGTTTCTGGTGCCGAGATCGTTTTCAGTGTTCGCTGATAGATTCTATGGTTATTACGGCAGTCATGGAATTTCATTCAATCACTTTCCAGATGGATGACCTTCCTTGTCGTTGATACTGTTTGTGGTACTCCACGCATTGCACACACAACATCAAAGATTATTTCAACGTGTCCGAACGGTCCGCGACATGGCCGGCACCAGTAGTCAAGCTCGATCGCTGTTGCGAAATATATGCGACGCCTTAACCATGTACCATCGTTTTGACCAGTTATGCATCAAGCCCAAATTCTAGCGTACGAAATAGCGTTCCACTGCAGATTTCCAGTTCCACTGACTGCTTAGGTATTTCACTCCTCTGCTTTGTTATTTTAGCATTTTGGCAATGGATGTATTGACTGTGGTAGCCATTGACTTACCATTTACCGATGTCAGGGTCATTTCGCTGGGCTTGCTGCATGCTGATGGATTGATTCGCATTGTTCGTCGGCTGTCCTGTTTCACAGCTCGCATCCATGTATGAACAGAGTGATTCGATGGCTTCCATTTGTGCCCTTGATAACCCATAAGCCTTTCCACGTTGCTTGCCCAACCGATGAACTGCCAGTGTGGAACTTTGACAAATATTGGAATCAACAAAACATGTGACCTTACGGGTCTTTCGGTGCCCACAGGCTGCATTAACGTCAGCGTTATAGTCAGTGCTGGCTGAGGTGCTGTAGAATGCACGACAGACAGTTGCTCTTTTCGACTCTTACTGTACTTAATCTTTGCCGCTTGCAAATTTTGCCATTTGATCCTTTCCCTGATTCATTTGTGACAGTACCATGGTCATTTGCATTGGTGTCACTGACCCGGTTCTTTTTGATATATTTGAGTGCTAGCATGGAAGCAGAGGTGAGTCGTTCTTTGAGGAGTGATCTTATTGCTTTCTGACAGGCTACGCACCGTTCGAATTTTACCCTTTCGGTCAGCTAATGTAGCGGGGCGGCGATAGTAGCGAAGTCTTTGATGAACCGCTGGTAGTGCGATACAATGTCAGTGAAACAGCGCATTTCAACTAAGCACAATGGTGATTTCTACTGTATCATTTCTGCTGTCTTGCTTGGATGAGGTGCCACATTTTTCTGCGACACGGTATGCCTTGGTAGCGTAATTGATGCTAAGTATAAGGAAGTGACTTTTTTGGAGTTTTAGCTTAGGGGCGCTTTTCTCTAACCCATTAAGCACTGCTTCTAAGTTTTGTTGGTGTTCGTCTTTGGTCTTCGGCAAGGCCACAATGCAGTCTAAGCAGAAAAAGCAGCAGTCATACATCGGGTCTGCTAAAACAACGTCCATTACCCTCTCGAACGTGGCCGGATCATTGCATAACCCGAGATGCATCACCTGTAATTCCTCCAACCCATATGGCTTAGAGAAAGCAATCTACTCTCGATGCTTTTTCTCGACTTCTTTGTTTGTTAAATGCACTTTTGCGTGGAGAGAATCAGTATTTACTCGAATCTGAAATGAACATCTTCATATAAGACAGTTATCATATCGCTTGTAAAAGGTACATTTATTTCGGTTCATAACAGTTGAGTAATTGTTAGCATGGATAAATTTCGAATAAACGATTTCTGACAGGTGTTCATTTGCATATGAAGAAATCTGTTTTTCCCTAAATGTTCCACGTTGTTGAGGGCAAATTTGTACCGGTGGTGGAAATCATGGCTTAATCACAGTTTGTAATACCGATGATAAAATGTTATTTTGTACGAACCTTTCACGACTATCTGAACAGTCGCTTGCCCAGCTAATTCTACCATATACTCCAGTATTCTCGAGTTAAATCTTCTCGCCAGATTGAAAAATACAGGTGCATGCTTATTGCCTACTGCAATATCTGCTACACTTCTTGTTTACAGTACCAAGTGGCTCAGCTGTTTGCGGTAGCGGAAGCGAGCAAGAACGAAACAGGAGGCGGCGAAGGTGTCCAAGTGCTGAAGAACGAGCCTTACACGGGTCACCCACTGATCGGCGACCGTTTTCCTGATGGCCAGTTTACGCACAAGATCTACCATTTACAAACGCAAGTACAGCTCTGTGCTCCTTTCGCGTCTCTGATAAGGTGCATTTTAGAAAAGTGCCGTGGTGGACCCGGAAACTGGCCCCAGCAGGCTCTTTGGAGTTGCACGAGAAAGCTTGGAATGCGTTCCCGTACTGCAGAACCATTCTTACCGTAAGTCGCTATTGCTCGCATCCGCGTTTCCTTCGACGACAGACAAGATGCGTTGTTTAACTGTATAAAAATCTGCAAGGCACATCTGAACATAGAGTAATCGTGGTACGTTAACTGACAGGATGTTACAACATATGAGCTTGCTGCAGTGACGTTTTCACACTCAGATTTGGCCAATGGTTTGAGCTCCATGCTCTAAGGTAAAATCACACGTTTAAAAAATAAGATGGAAAAATATCCCTCCCATTCGCGAATTGTCAGCATTCGTTAGTATGTTCGACACCGTTTGCATTGATTATGTGAGAGGCTTGTTAATTAGTTTGTTATACTGCGAAAGGACAACTGTAGTGCAGCAATTTAAAGCGTCAAAACCCATTTGACAGACTAGAAACTTTCCATATGACTGGATACATTATTCTAGTAATACTTATTGCGACGAGCTCACTCCGCCATTGGTGATCCAAGGTCCGAATGAAGTAAGAGGACAGTTCGGTGCTGTAGTGAGATCCTTCGTGAAATTAAACTACCTCTGCTTCATGATATTGCCGTTATCGAGCGTTATAATGGTTCGGTCGTCTCTCTGATTGCCAAGTACCGAGCAGGCTGTTGGCTTGAAAATGTTAAAGCTACTGGGATAGAAAAGATCTGCCATGTAATGCTGAAGGCTTTTGGCGAATCAGACATGTTGTTGCTGACACGTGTCTGTCAGAGGGGAAGGGAAAGTGGACTTGAGAGCTGGAGCGGTAGTACCCATATTCAGGAAGTGAGACCCATAGGAACTTCTCCAGTTATCGAAACATTATTTATTGAGCCTCCCAGGCAAAGCTTACGCAATGGCGCCGGGACGGAATTGTTCACTGTATGATCCAAGATGAGCACTCTGGCT